TATCATTCGTAACACCTGTGTTTAACCTACTATTTCATGTCAAAATAGCTGTACGCAAACGCACCCAGGAACGCCATCAAATTCATCAGTCAAATACTTTGATCTCAGCCGTCAACATCAGGACAAATTTTCATCTTGTAGAAAATAAATAAATGTGGGACGTTATGAACATTACATTTAACATTTAGCCGTGTTGTTATTATGCACATGAAAATATAAATCTATAACTGGTCTGGAAACATTTAAGGGCTTAAAATAGAGGGTAAAGCGTGCCTGCACACACTTTGGCGCCATAGTGCAGTAAAGTTAGCAATAATTTATATACAAAATCCAGTTAGACTTTCAAAATAAAGCTTGCCGAGAAACATTTCAGGTGATGGCTGCAGTTTGGTTACGTTAAAGCACCAAAACTACTTGGTTAGGTTTAGGAAAAGACGTCTTTGTCGCTGTCTACATCTGTTTTACTGGCTGGATTATATGAGCCAGTTGATGTTTTAGGTATCGTGATTCAAGAGAACGTACACAACCTTTGTATAGTTAATTATAATAATATGGTAAAAGGGGAAAACATTAAAACTATTTAATTGGTTGACTGTACCACAATTTATTTAACTTTTTATGTCCCTCCCAACACAGACCTTCCTCCAGTCTTATGAACAAAAGATTTTTGAGTTTTCTATAATAATTATGTACATTTGGAGGCTTAATGCTTCTGTTTAAAAGCCTCTTTTGTTCAAAAATGATACTTGAATATAGAGCTATTTTTGTAAGTCACTGTAGTGCCCCAATCTGTTGGTTCAGGAACGACTATTAATAATAAACGCAGTATAAGACACCATGAACTCACCATGGAGTTAGCACAGGCTCTCAGTAGGCCTGCATTATAAAACAGCACAATAGGAACATAAAATAAATGATATAATGTCACTATAATAAGGGGGATCCTATAATTTGGTACAAAAATAGGTGTCCATTAAGTGGCCATGATGAGGCAAGTATGAACTCTCCAGTGAGTAGCACAATGCACCGGAATACTGAAGGAATATCACACATATTTCCTTGTTTGGGGGCTAATATAGGGCTTATAATATCAATTATAATGCAAGAAAACGCCGAAAAACAACAGTATTGGCTATAAAGAGAATAAACTGGCCTACACATCCTGTCGCTCTCTGGAGGAGGGAGGGCGGGGGGGCTGAAAGCAGCATCCATCCTCAGCACCGACACGGGGGAAAAGCAGCGTTAAAGGCGGCCACACGGTGAGAGACGGTCGTACTTACTGTCCGAGGCCATGGCTGCGGATGTTTCCCTCACACTGACGGCGGAACCGAGCGTTTGTTCGGCGGAGCAGAGGCAGCAGCGTCCCCGCCGCTCCTCATCCTCCAGACCCGCAAAATCTGCAGCCACACAGCGCTGAACCGCGACCCCTTCACGTACTGTAGGAAACGCCCACACTTCACTGGTGTACACTCGTGTCGTTATGTACATTTGAAGGGGATTTAAACCTTAATTATTATGAGGATAACGATTGTTTTAAATCATTTTGTGCCATAAAATGTCGAAATATTTTGCTCATATTGATCCGATTTAGGAGGGAATAGGCGAATATATAACATCGCCCACAGTTACCCATGGTCTTTGAACGTATCCTGCATCATCAGTACCGTTCAAAGCTTACGGCTAACTTTAGATTTAGTTAAAATGTAAGTTAATTAAGACTAAAATTGGACTGGTTTACTAATTAAACTTTATTTTAACATAAAAAGACACGTGAAATAACAATTTATAATTTCAAATAAATAAGAAGCCAATCCCGGTTTAAACTAGCTAACGTTAAAGTTAAATTAAACTCACCTCACATTATAACCATCCTCCCGCTCAAAGAACATTGTTTGTATATTGTAGTAAATTATTTTTTACTTTATACATTATTTGTGCTGTTACATTCTACTAGATCCATAAAGGTCTTTGAAACAGTGTGTTAGTGTTTGTGAAAACCTTCATTATTAACTAACCTTATGGCCCTTTTCTGCAATATACACTGGAATTAAGCTCCAAACCAATCACCAATTATTTAATAAAATGTCTCCCAAGAAAGACGCAGACAAAAATATCAAGTATTAAAAAATAGGATTTTATATAAAACAGCCAAACTTGAAAAAACACCAGAAACAAAAATAAACAATTTTTTAAATCTACTTTCACAGAGAAATTAAGTTTATAAAGAAAATGTTTAGTCATTTTACCTGATAAACTTCCACCTCTTGTGCACTGCTGAGGTTAAGCAAGGCACCTAACTGCTCCTAATGTATATAGTAATGTATATAGTAATGTATATAGTAATGTATATAGGATGGGTCAAATGCAGAGGACAAATTTGGTCTCATGTATGTAAACAATAAAGACTGACATTTGTGTAATTGTTCAAATGTGCAGCTCGGTGATGAAAACAGGGATTTTCTTCAGCTTTGATGAGTTTTTGAAGCCGTTTACATTTAACAAAGCGAACAGAGTCACAACAATATTCTTTTTTTAACAGTTTTATCCATTAAAAAATAAATTAAAGCATTTTAAAATGTGAAAAACATTTCCTATGTCACAGAACTGGTAGTGCAGATTCTTTCATTACAATGATAAAAGCTCTACTAACATTTTAAAACAAACATCAAACTCTCCTGAACAGCAGCTCCGATCAGGACGACAGGTCGACTCCAACGCCGTCTTCATCGCGACTTGACCTTTTCTGGGAGCGGTCTCGTATTTCTGAATGGGAGAAAAAGAAAACAACATAAAATACAGCGAATATCAGAGAAAAAGCCATTTGAGCTTCAGAAAACTCATCCTAATGAATGTTTTTTAGCTGTTTACTCTGCTGGAGAAGTGAATTATCTTGACAACCATCTAATATATTTCCATAAACTCTGGACATTCAGTGTCCATGTGCGTGCTGACGTAGCGTGTAACCATGTTAGTTGTTAAGTGTACCCTCAGGATCAAAGTCCAGTGAAGTGAGACGATTCACGTAAGTGGTCGAAATGGCTTCTTTCCACAGGTCACCTGACGAGAAGGAAGTTTCAGTGAGTGAAAACTTTAAAGATAAAAGAAATAAATCATCTTCAGAAACATATTTTAATGATAAATAAATAAAGTGACACATTTAGTTTGAGGTCTGAGGGATTAAAGGGAGGCTGGATTTACCGGAGACATGTACGTTCTTGGTGGTTCTGGCTTTGAGTGACGGTTTGTGGATTCTGCAGTAACGGGACGAGTGCGAGGGTCCGGCCTCATGACTCGTCAAGTCCACCTCCACCTGCCGATGGCGCCGGGACTTGGGAGCCTGAAAGACGCATTCATACATATAAGAATTGATGATTTGCAAAGAATACATTGAACATAATCCACTTTTTTAAAGAGACTGAAGGATCCTCAGAATTAAATGTTTGTTATATATTTAAAACAATATATAATCTATAACACGAAGCACAAACCTCTGTTGCCTCTCCGTACGCCTTTGATTTGATGGAGGCGAGGAGCAGCGCTCTCTGGGAACACTGAGGACACAAAAACAGGCCGTCAGTCAACAGCGCCACCATCTGGACAAACTTATTATTACAACCTTAGAAAGCTGAAGGACTTCCTTTAATTCGATTCAGTTCCAGTGCTTTAATATCCTGCAGGAGACTCGAGTCGCACTTCAACAAAAAGTCTCAAGTAGTGTAACTGGTCTTCAAACAGAGGTCCGGGGAGTAAAAGGGGTCCTTGAGTGTGTTTTAAAGGGTCCCCAGCAAAAAGAGGATTAGAATATTTTAACTTTTATCACTTTTTTTGGTAGTTGGAACAGGAGACCGTATAATCTTGAAACTTACAAATAAAAAAATAACAATCTATTGTGCTGTGGTCTATTGTGCATCTATTGGGGGTGGAAAAGTTTGGGAGCCCCTGTTGTAACTCACCTCCTGCTGAGATGATGTTCCCTCACCGCTGTCTTTATCTTCATCAACGGCATCCTGACAGAAAAGGACACATCATCTCATCACATGGACAAAAGACCATCATCAACATTCAAATAACCACATTAAACTACACTGTAGTTTTACCAACTGTAGTCTCACCTTCTTTTGCTGCCACTTGTAGAAATCCACCACGGTGCCGCGGAGCTGAGGGACAAAGTCTTTACGGATCAGGTTGACGGACGAAGCCTCATGTTCTGCCGTCGAGAAGACGGACGTCTTCAGTTTGTCGTAGAGCTGATTAATGTTGGACAGTTCCTGCAAGGAGACAGAGAGCACAACTTAACACATTATAATGAATAAATCTACTCTTATAGAGCAAGTTTATACCTGATTAAACTTGTTTAAACCTGTTTAAACCTGTTTTAATCTGATTAAACCTGATTAAAACTGCAGTATAGGTCTGTTTAAAGAGTCTCTGCTCACATCCAGCAGCTCGATGTTGATCAGCTCCTGCGGACGACACGCTCGCTCCATGAACTCCTCACACAACGGCGACTTCTCCAGCTTCCTCTTCTTTTTGTAGAAGAGCTGGCGGGAGAGGAAGAGGAGGAAGAGACGAAGGAGAAGCACAAAAATGAGAAAGGGAAAGTGTGAATTTGCAGACGACATTAGACTGTTGACCTTCCATCGTGAAGTTTGTGGTGGGCAGCTCACCAGAGTGGGCATGGCGGTGAAGTAGAACGCTTTGTGTGACATCAGCTGTCGGAGGATGTAAACGACGTCGACGTGCTTAGCGCTCGCCGCGTCCTTCTCAAACTTCTGCACGTCCTCCCAGTCCTTCAGCGCCAGACGGATCTGCAGCCAGAGACAACGAGAGGAACTGATCACCAACTTCACTTCGAGTCAGACTTTATTTAAATGTACGACCGCGGTTAAAGATGGTGTATTTGTGCGTCGGGTTGCTGACCAGCTCTGGCGGCGAGGCGGTCTGACACTGATACAAGCTGTACAGCAGGTAGAGTCCTCCCACTCGGATCTGGAAGCTGAAGGGGGGCAGGAAGAAGCTGCAGGCTGTGTCCAGGATCAGACGACTGAACATTCGCTTCTCACGCCCAACAGTGCCGCTGCGAAACCACAACACGTCACACACCGTGTTAGAGATTAAAGATACAACCTGCTTATTATCTACTGTCTCATAATTATGTTACATTTCTCAAATATGAGTTATAATTCACACACATATAACTTAATATCTGCTACTTGCATAATAATAAAGCACAATTATGAGATTATAATGTCACATATGATTCAAAAAGACAGTTTATGTGTCAGATTGTTTTTAATAAGTGGAGAAAAGAAACCGCTCAGCCAACAATATGTGCTTTTTCTCCAGCTCACTGTAAACTGCATTAAAGACAGACAGATGTCGATATTAACAAGTGTTTTAAAGTAAGATATTAATTTATGGAAGATGAAAGATAATAATGGAGAATATGTGACAGTAATGTATAGTTACTGGGAGTAAAGAGTGGTTTAAGTTATTATGATCGTATAATATAGTAGAAATATAATATCTCTTAAACTTGTTACAGCACATCAGTGATTTTATTAGAGTTCTGTATCCACTATTTATTATTTCTATTATTATTGTTAATAATATATATTTTGATGCTATTACATGAACATACATGTATGTACTCAAATCATCATAATAATATATAAATATAGTTTTAGTGTGTATAATATATATATATAATATAATGTATAATAGTGTATAATAGTATAATGTATAATAATATAAATGTATAATAATATAATGTATAATAATATAATGTA